ACCCATAGTAGCTACAGATGATCAACGGTGACCCATGGCGACTGGAAGTGGAAGAGAAGGAATAGTGACTGGAGAGTGAACGAAACCCACAATGGGCGCAGAACATGGTAGAATGAGAAGGAACAAGACACGAAATGGCCCTGTTTTGGACCCTCGTCATGGAATGGTCTGCTTTAATTAGGCACGTGCATCCTATTTTGATGATCACTATGAAAGACTGAAACCTAGATGTAGAGGGAAGGAAAGATGAAGAGCGCAAGAAAAAAAGCATCAGTAGGCGGTGGGCATTCCTCAAAATCGTGAGCTAGCACCACTTTTTTTTTTCTTTTCCTTTTTTTAAAACGTCTAGTCATCATAAAAAATTGCCAACTCATTAAACCATTTGTCACATAATCAGTTTTAACGCTGTCAAGTTATATCGGTTAATAGAAGGACTTTGACAAAGTTTGACTAAAACTATAAGGACCCATATCCTAAAAAATAAATTATAGGGACCTTGACCAAATTTGACTGAAACTATAAGGACTTAAAACACAGTTTTCCCAATTAAAAAAATACGAGCACCAGCACTCTCCCCACTCGCACTTAAAAAGGCACCGAAAGCACTGAAATCCGTTATAACCATCCGATTGTAATCCATTAGGGGAAATATGACCGTGGGATCAGTAGTGCGTGACGTAATCATCACAAGGCTCACGTTAGGAAACAGGTGGCGGGCAGCGGGCACATATAACTATAAGGGTTGAAGGAGGAAAATTAGAAAACAGAAAGCGGGAACGATTAATTTATAAAATTAACCTCATTACGAGGCGTGATTAACGCCGCTAAGCAACCCCTTTCTCGTAAATATCCCAATCATTTTGTTTGCCCGAAATGTACCCAATTATTTGAGCTGATTTCCAAAAAGGCTTTTCAAGCGCAAATTACAAAAAATAAAAAAGAAATTTATGACTGGAGATCGTACTAAGCATTTTTTAGTTATCGTTTTGGGTTAGGTAAATGATAAATATTCCTAATTCCACTGTTATACGCAAATAATACCCGACATACTGTACATACTGTACATCTTCCCGTATTGTAAGATGTACTTCCTCTTATCTTTAATATAAGAGATAGTTAACTAATTTGAATAAATTAATAAAACTAGTTAAGCTAATTATTTATAATAAATAGGTATTATCTTTTCTAAAATATCCTTGCTAATCAAGTTATTGGCTAAAACTACCATTATTATAAGCACTACCTTAAAAAAATAAATAAACACAAGACACAAAATAGATTGGAATCTTATATTTAATATCAAAATAAAAGTTATACGAGTTTTATATTAAGAATCGGAGGTATTATAAAACAAAAAAAAGGCATCAAATATATATATTATGTATATAAAAGTTAGGAATAATAACGTGATTTGGACCCCCAAATTATTTAATTATCACATGTACCAATTAAACTAATTTGACTAATTTATTTCTTAAACCTGCTTTTATTTTTCTGATTCGACCTTTATTTAGCACCCACTTTTGTTGGCAAAAAAAAAAAAAAAGCACCCACTTTATTGACTGACTTTAATTTAATGGAAAAAACAACATTTATAACAAGTCATTGCATACATTTAATCATCATGCTGCACGTGAGCTGATTTTTTCTTTTTTTTTGAGTGATTGATGATAAAATTTAAAAACCAAATTCTTGGCAGTGAATAGTCACCAAAAAAGAATTCATTAAAGCATCAAAATATAAGTCAATTTTTTAAAATTAAACTGTTAGCATTTGACAATCATAACTTCAAAAACAAAGACAAAAAGGATTTGTTTAAAATCTGTGTTAAATTTTACGATGGTAGATTCTAGGTTTTGATACTTCCATTTTTTAGATAAAAAACAATAGAACTTAACATGAAGTTAAAATATTTCAATTAATTTTCATTAATAAAAGGTAATTTAAGTTACAAGTCTGCCTTATCCATATGAATTTATTTAAACCGTTGAGTTGGACAGCAACTTTAATTATATATAATGTAGCTTTACGTGGAAACAAAATTACTTGTCACAGCATTTACTATGGTAGATCACTTTTGACAAGTTGCTAATTCTTTAAAGAAGCGATTCAAATTTGAAGAAAAATTTGAATTTGAAATTTTGAATGCAACCCCGCCAATAATAAAAAGCCTCTGAACAAAATCTGCTATGTAATTATTTCACTAATTAATTTCATATTTCAAACTAAATATATAAATAGTTTGATCAGCTCAAATCATCGCATTCGAGGAACAAAAAGCTTGCCTGTTTATCAAATTACTAATATCCACTTCATTTGTGTCACTGTTAGATTTAAAGAGGGTGAAATTTCTTTTTAACTATAATTTATATCTTTATATGATTTTGGTCATGTTATTGATTTTTGAAACTATCTATTAAAAATTTGATCATAAAAAAATGATTTATACACTCTCCGCAAAAAGGCGTAAATGTAAAACCATTTACAATGAATTCTCCAGACGAAATTAAATTTTTAACTATAATTTATATCTTTACATGAGTTTAAGCCATGTTATTGATTTTTTTGTGCTGTTTTTCGCCTGATATTTTTTTGTGCAGCCTATTTAAAGTATGATCATAAAAAATGGATTCAAAAAGATAAATAATCAGTTGAGTTAAAAAAACTTTGTGTAGCAACTATAGCAAGTTTGGTATCAATATTATCAGGTTACTAATTTTTTCCCAAAATATTGATTATTAAATTATCTAATATCTAATGCTCCACTAATTATCAGGTTTATGCATTGCTGAGTCTGAATGAGAATACTTTTAATGTGAATTTTATAATTTATAAAATCTTGGGGAGTTTGAAAATGTTTTTAAAGTACAAAACTCTTCTCACATTTAAATATCATAAAATTATTTTTAAAAGTTAATTTAAATAACTTACGAGTATTTTTTATTCTACTCAAGGGGAATCAATTCAGCGCCAAAGCACTGTTTTGAGACTGTTGTGGTCAGTCGAGTTAACCTCATTCGTTGATCGCCGTAACGGGCAAACTACGGCTGCGAAGTGGTAAAAGTCAAAACTGGCGCGTGACTCACATTAAAAGTTTTGGATTTAATTGGTTGGACGGAACAAGGGGCCACCAAATCCCTGGAAAAAAAAATCAGGGCCACCAAGTCAGTTATTAATTCAGTCAAAATATGCCAATATTTTTTTTTGTCCAGAATGAAAATATTTGAATTCAAAAAGTTACGTATTATTGAGATTATAATATACTCCTCCGGTCCTAATTATAAGACCCAATTGACTTATTTGAGGAGATTAAGGAAGTAAGTTAAGTTGGTTATTTATAATAAATAAGTGTTGTCATTCCTAAAATATTCTTTTTAATTAAGTATATTGGCTAAAACTATCATTATTAGAAGGATTATCTTGAAAAAAAATGCATAAATATAAGAGACAAAATGGATTGGGTCTTATAATTAGGACCAAATAAAAAGTCAAATTGGGTCTTATAATAAGGACCGGAGGAGTAATATACTTTTGAACTAACTCAGCGCACGTTCAAAATAACTTATAGATAGTGTTTTAATCGTAATTTTAAAAAAACAAAGTAAGTATGTGAATAAAATTTTATTTTAAATTATATGAAACATGTTTTTAAGTGTTTAGATGTGAATAAGTTTCACACAATTTTTCTATAAACAAGTTTTACACAAATGTTTTTTTTATACAAAGAAATTTAAATGAGTTAGGTATTGAGGGCTTACCAATGTTAGGGCTTACAGAAACATTCATAAATTGCCTATCAATAAAAATTTTATATCGGTAGCAAGATTTAAACTCATAACCTTGTAGGTTGTAAGCTCATTCCTTACTAATTGGACCAACTCTTATTGGTTCTTTTACATAAATGTTTATCAAACATGAAAAAGGCTATTCAATCATAACAAAATAAAAAACAAAGTTTATTTTTTAAAAAAAAAATTCTTAAATATTCTAAATAGTTGCTCAAAATTTAAACATATATAAATCTTGAAAAATAAAATATATAATTTTAATTTAAGAGTATAAGCTCATTATGATCAAGCTATAGTTCATACAGCAGAACTAGATCAACTAGTTCAACCTGTCGGATCAAAATTAGACTTATGTTTAAACAAGATATGAGGGAGAATGAGGAGAGGAGAGAATCATCCAAAAATCCATCCAACCAGCCCTAACCAATCAAAAATGCTTCAACTAGTAAGTGAACAAGTTGAACAAATCACAATTTTTTTAAACTAATTAATATTTTTAAGAAATAAAATGTGCGGTTTTGTGCTAATAATATTGGGAAACAAAGAATAATGACAAATAGGGAAAATGTGTAATATGTTCTAAAATCATACTATCTCTGGTCTTAATTATAAGAGCCAGTTGACTAATTTGAAGAGATTAAGGAAGTAAGTTGAGTTAGTTATTTGTTCTAAATAGGTGTTGTCTTTCTTAAAATATCCTTGCTAATCAAGTATATTGACTAGAACTATCATTGTTAGAAGGACTACTTTGAAAAAAAAAATGCATAAATATGATAGACAAAGTGGATTGGGGTCTTATATTTAGAACCAAAATAAAAATCAAATAGGGTCATATATTAAGGACCGGAAGTAGTAAATAAATATAGACATCTGCATAAATATTAAGAAATATTTATAAATATTCTTTTTTTACATATATTACTTTTATTTAAATTTAATAATTATTTTTATCATTGAAAATATGTTATTTAGAATATACTCTATTGATTCATTATTAACTAATTTAAGCATCGAACCGTGAATGGGGTATCTTAAATCTTAAATTAGCTCAATATATGTACTACCAGTTTCATAAGATATTCAAATCCCATCCCAAGACCAAATTCCCCACGCCAGGTTCAGCCACCCTCTCTCGGAAAATTTGGCAACATATTTAAATTGAAATTTGGTAGTGAGAAGAAAAGCAGAAAAAGATAAAGATAAACCAATAATCCACCTACAGTTTCGCTACCGAATCTGCCCCTATTTGTTTCAGTGCTTTCTTTCTACCCACAAAAAAATAAAACTCTTGCGTGCTTTCTCATCATTCCTTCCTTCCTTCCTTCGTCTTCTTCCATCAGGTAAAAGTTTCACGTGTTTCATAGTTTCAAGAATCAGCTCCGTGCAGAAATGGAGTTTGCAGTAGCTAAAGCGTTGAAACCCAGTTTACGAAGAGAACTATCCTTTCAACAGAAAACCTTGTGCGAGGAAATTTTGTACTTGAACGGAAACAACGGCGTCTCCGGTGAGGATTTCTCGGTGGATGACCTTCTTGACTTGTCTCACGACGAATTTCAGCACGTGCTTGCTGAAAAGGAAAACGATTTCGAAGACGACGAGGAGAAAAAAGATGGTTCCTTTGTTTCGGATGATGCAAACTCTAACTCTGGCAGTGATTCCGGCACCGCCGATACTGAGTCGGCTTTCGCAGGCGAACTCGCCGTTCCGGCAAGTTTACTTTCTCAAGCTTCAAGGTTTTCATTTTGTTTCTGGCAAGGAATTGAAATTTAAAACGTATTTGAATATTCTGCAGGCCGATGACTTAGCGGACCTTGAGTGGGTTTCTCACTTTGTAGACGATTCTCTACTCCAGTTCTCGTATCCGCTTTGCTCAGAGCAGTCGAAGGCGGAGAAGCACTCTGCGACGGAGCTTAGAACGGACTTGACGACGGCAAAAACTCCCCGTTTTCCGTCTAAAATCCCGGTGAAAACGAGGAGCACCAAATATAGAAAAGCCAACGCTCGTGTCTGGTCATCCAGCTTAATACTTTTTGTTTCCCGGTCATCTCCAAAGTCTTCCTCGGCTCTCATCTTCGCCGGTGAACCGTCGGCGATGAAGCAGAAAAAGAGGAAACCGGTGGAAGGGGAAACGGGTGGGTCCCAGATTCAGCGTCGGTGCAGTCATTGTCATGTGCAGAAGACTCCACAGTGGAGAACCGGCCCACTAGGCGCCAAAACCCTGTGTAACGCATGCGGGGTCCGGTTCAAGTCCGGTCGGCTTTTTCCAGAGTATAGACCCGCATGCAGCCCAACTTTCTCCAGCGACTTGCACTCAAATAGCCATCGCAAGGTGTTGGAGATTAGGAGGAGGAAGGAGACGGTTGGTCCGGAGGCCGGTTTGACCCAATCACAAATGGTTCAGAGCTTCTGAAGTTTCAAATTCCCAAGTAAACCGGGTCCAACCCGGTTCGGTTTTTGTACAATAGTAGTATCAGTTAACGGTCAGTCTTAATTAGTGGAAGTCGGCTAGGAAGGTCACAGGTAGGTATTAATTAGGAGGAGATTGATTGTTTGTGTTACTTTAGAATTTAGGGCAGTTGATTTAACTTATATATTTATTATTAGAGTAAAGTAGAAGCAGAGGAGAATATATATATATATATGGATATATAAATATATATATTTATGTAAGCCTTTTTTTTTTTTGGACTCAATATATTTATAAAGCCTTTTAATTTGAGCCATTTATTGAGTCTGGTGTTTGATATTTTAATTGCATTTGAATCATTCAAGTTTGCTGGGTGTCGAGTGATGGGAGATTCAAAGAAAGAGATGGGTGACAGTGTGATTGAAACTTTTTATTAAAGTTTTGTATTATTGATTTGAGACCACTGAATCTGTATTAGTGCCATATGGAGTGGTCAAGTGGGAACCAACGTGAGGAACATATAAGTTGACCCAGAGATTTTTCTTTCATTATCACAATTTTTTTTAATCAAGGTCCTTCATTGAAAATACAATAAACAGGAACTTGTAATATGATTTATGACTTGAGAGGTAGTAGTTTTACACATTCAAGCTAAAAGCATGGTGGTAATTACAAAGGTTAATTGGCCCCAAAAAAAATTATTAATTTGAATCTTGAAGCCCTAGTTCTATAATAGAAGTCTGTTTAGAAATTTTATTAATTAAAAAGATTTGATATATTTTTATGCATAGGAAATTCAATACTCAAATTCAAGCCCTTTTGTTATGATCAAAAAAATTTACAAACAATGACTTTTCGCGGATTTTCTTAATAATAATTGAGTTGAGCAAAAAAAAAATTCAATACCTGAAGGTCAAGGTTTAAGCACCGCGAATGTATAAAAATAATACTTCTCTAATCTTAAATATAAGATCTACTTTGTAGTGTAAATTACATTACAAAGTGAGTCTTATATTCAGGATTGGAGGAGTATTAGGTTTATTTGGATTTAACAATATTTAAATTTAGATTAGTTGACAGTACTAAATACTATATAATTACAAAAAATAAATAGAATTTTTATTAATTACCGAAATGAAAAAAGTCGTTATGGCTAAAAAGAAAATCAATTTTATTTTAAAACTAAGCATGAATCGATTATTTTTTACGTTGAAATTCGAATAATTTAATTTTTATTTGAATGGTTGGTATTTTAATGATTATAAAATACTAGAATATAGAATTTAGACAAATTATTTATATAATTTAATTTCCACTGTTCAAATTTAGGATGAGCGCTTTGACTTCCTTGAGTCGAGCAGAGAATCTATTATATCACTATATGCAACGTGCTTAAAGAAAGATACATGCATGCAACATTTTAATATACTTTCTTATTCAATTTTAAAGATTTTTAATATTAATTGAAAAATGATTTTTTACCTGAAGAAATTGATCTTTTGATATATCAAATGAGGGAACAAAAATTAAATATCATCATCATCATCATTTTCTGCAAGTTGTAGTGTAACATCACCACTTACTAACCAGAACTAACCATGATAGAAAAGATTAAAACTAGTAAACATACCCTATCATGGTTATTTAAGAGCAATCACATCATTAAAGGGCTAACCATGATAGAAAAACATTCGACCTTAATTAAGACTATCATGGTTAGAAAAAGAATAACCTATAGTTTGTAATCATGGCAAACATGGTTATAAAACAATATGCCTTTGAATGATAAATTATAATAGCAGTTTAGACTTGACTATCTTAGTCAACACTAGCAACAACTAAACTTGCCAAAATTGCCATTATCACATCGTGGATCCACAATAATTCAATCACATGCAATCTAAGGGTCTCAAGCCCACTACCAGCACCCTATTCCAATGTCCAAACAAAATAAACCAAAGATAGAAAATATAATACGTTTATTTAGTCAAACGACATAAAAATATAAGAAGGTAAAATAAGTTCCAAATAAATGCAGTCCTGATGCGTGGCAATATATGAAAAGATTACATAAAATAAGGTCCAGAAGCTCTACACTGCCAGCTACAGTTATTGAGCCTCAGGAGTCTTCCCCGAAGGTCCCGCTAACGTATTGTTTCCTGAAAATGGTAAAGCAACAGGAGTGAGACAACGTCTCAGTAACTAAATCCCTACCTATCCCACACCCTAGCATGGGCTAGCGAGGTGTCAGGTGGGATACACAGAGTTAATAATAGTTGATAAACATTTATTTAACATTTAAACTCACAATAATCATACAAGACAAATATTTCCACCAGTCTCATGCAATGGATACATTTCAAAAGAAATAACATACTTGTCATTTATTTAAAAGATATAAATATCAATGAATATCTCATGTCATATGCAATTCCTGAACCCAAACTCATCCTTATATCCTCCTTATTTCCGCCGACTGGACCCATGGGCTAAGTTCTTTCCATTTAACTGGCAACTCTAACAAGCTCACCACACGAATGATGTGGACCGGCCAAAGACCACAGAGCACTCGGTGGACCATGGGTCCCCCCTCGAAGAACTAGTGGGGTGTCGCAGTCCCTCGAAGAACTAGTGGGACAATAATAGCAGCCAACCATAGAGCTCCGTATGGAGGCTAATACCACGTGGCAAGTATATGAATCTCAACAACTCCAATTATCTCCTTTCCCCACCCAAAATAGATGCATAGGGTTCAAAATGACACATTTATATGCATAATCAACAAAATTTCATAATAACATATCATAATCATGATCACCAATTTCTTGCAATACAAACTATGTTAATCCTTTTTAAAATAGCATCCCACAAGACAGTTCATACAAAACGTAATATACTTTTATAGAATTAGTTGTAAAGCCGCTCACCAACTTCATACTAGAACATGCAACAGATAGAAATTTAGTTACCTGGTCTCCTAGCTATCAATCAACTACAACCAGAGTCCAACCTCGAAAATGCCACAATAGAGTTTATATCTACAAACAAAATTAAAATATTATCTCTATAGTATTAGAGTAGGCTACTCACAAAATTCTAGCCTCTAACTCCTTCTCTAAAAGCTTTAATTTTACTCAAAACTCTAGCCTAAAAGACATTTCTCTAAGGTTTGGAATAAGAACATATATATATGTGATTTAGACTCGATTCCTAAATTTCCTTACTTAAATATCCTTTAATTATTATATTATTTTATTAGAATCATCAAATTCATAATGGAAATAGACAAACTATAAATTTATAACTTATATTCCATCTTCGAAAGACTTAGACAAATAGACTTAGTACGACCCAAGTTATTCTCACTACAGAAGTTAAACCCATAATCTAACCGTTGAATTCAATTTCCTATCCATCATGATACTATCCTCCAAATTATAGCTCAATCTAACGGTGAATAAACTTTAAAATGCTAATTTACTATTCAGGACTCTATCTGCTAAATCCAAAAGATATAAGTTAAAAACGTACCTAATAACTTGTAACTCGGAGATCAAAAGGGTGATCCGACCGTTGAAATTAACGATTTGGATGTCCCAAATGGACCGACCAAATTTCAGTCCGATCCAACGGTTAATAAAATTAAAACTAGCACTTTTCTGAGACTACCTCAGATATGTGCGAAAATTATTTACTTACTCCAAGCTCCACTCACTAGCTCCTATATATAGGCTCCTCAAACTCCTTCACTCTAAAGATTAGTCGATGTGGGACTTCTATACTATGGTTTAATTTTCTAGAATATCATCCACACATACACACAATCACATACAAAAACATTATTAAAATAATAATAATAATAATTTGCCTATATCTAACTTCTTCTTCTTTTTTTTTTTTTTACTTAATACTAAAATATATTTATTTATAAATTTAATTAAATACTAGATAAAAATAAGGATGTTACATGTAGGATCATCATATCCGAAAGAAGTTGACATATTGTTTCCGCAACTTCTAAAATAGAGACCTTCATTGGCATTTTTTGTACTGGACGGATTACATCGACTTTAAAAAAAAAAATGTTGTTTTCCGATGTCGTTGATTAAGAGCACTCCTTTTCGTCCAAAATATGTTTTTGACCCCAAAAAAAAAATCTAAAATATGTTATCTTTTAATTTTCATCTATAATATATGTAATTGATACTTAAACACTGTTCTTTACATTTTTCCTCTTCATCCATACCTCACTCAATAAGTATGAAGTTAGAGTTTTTTTCCCCCCTCAATTTAAGACAGGTTTAATAAGCTAATTATTTCTTTTAATTTTGGTAAATTAATTGAAAATGACTTTATATTTTATAGCGGATATATATATGTTAATATTGGTTGAACTTTTCTTCATTTGAATTTGGCACAAAAAGTTGAAAAATATTCAAGTATATATGCAGACATTAGAAGATACTTAAAATATTCAAGTTAGACATGTTGGCCCATAGATCCATGCATCGAAAATGAAAGACGGAATTTATTTAAAATTATGACTCAATAAATAATAGGGGGCTATTTTTTTGGGGCCAGAATAAGGGGCTAATTAAGGGTCATGGGTGCTTTGGGTTACAGAAAAATTTCACATGAGCACAATTTCAGACTTTTAAGCTAGGGCTTAGGCATTAATATAATAAAGTTTATAATAAAGTTTAAAATTAGAATTATGTTTAGTTGGAGAAAAAAAAAAAGGGGTGAACAGAAATGAAGGCGTGGAGTGAAAGCATGAGGGAGCCGCCTTTGAAATGAACGTGCATGCACGTGGAGCCAATTATGGAAGGTGGTGGGTCAGTGGGATATCATGTTCAATGGATCAACATAATTCAAATTATTGGTCTTGTATATCATTTCTGTTCCCAACCCAAAAAAAAAAAACAAGATCAGAAGTTTTGAAAAAAAAAATCATTTCTTATCCCAAATTTATAATTCATGTATAGGACTGCAGGAAGGTGTCCTTTTGTTGTGAGTATAAAATATAGTATGTTAATAAACTACTCTTTTATTTTTATTTATAAGATAAAAGAGATTTTTTTTAATTTTATTTATAAGTTACTCTATATCATTTTTAAAAAAAAAGTACTTTTGTTGGTGTTTGCTTGGAAGGTGAAATTAGTAGGCACGGGGATGCAGGTCTTAACAACACTGATGATTCCATTTTTGGACTATGAGTCCATGCAAGGCCTTCATAACATTTCCCC